TCAGGACTGTGTCTTAATGTACACAAATTTTCAGCTAACCTATCAGTTTTGGCTTGTCTATTCTTAGTTGTCCTATGACAACTATGTTTCTCAACAAAGCTAACAATTTGCCAAAAATATTTGGTAGTCCTCATACTAAATATATAAAATGGACAAACTCCCATGCATCTTACAACCATTCTTTTCTTGTCATTCTTCCTTAAGACAATATTCTTCTTGTTATCCATTGCATATTCCTTTATGGCATCTCTAATTTGAAACTTATCCTTGAACATCATGCCTGGCTCAAACTTAGTGCTTCCCTTAAAAGTTAGAAACTTTTCCATCTCATCTTCATCACTTTCTTGTGGGTTATGAAGCTCATCTGAATCACAAGTTTCATTATCAGAAACATAATTATGACTGGAAGTACCTTCAATATGATCATTGGGTAGAATTGTTGTTCAGTCTACACTATCTTCAACATTATCTTCAGGAACTAAAACAATATCACTCTCACTTTCTTCCTCATAATTCTCAATAACCTCATAATCCAGATCAGTTTCACTCTCATCAACTTGATATTCCTCCACATTCACATCAGCTTTATCTTCCTTCACATTCACATCAGTTTGATCTTCATCCACATTCACATCAGCTTCATCTTCATCCACGTTCACATCAGTTTGAACATTCACATCATCACGATCTTCATCCACACTCACATTAGTTTGAACATCCTAAACTTCTATGTATTCAGGTATGGCAACCATGTGTTGAACATAAACATCGATGACATGGAACCCTTTAACATCTTCAATAAAGGTTAACACATCTTTGTCATTATTCAAAGGTCTAATCCCTCTAGAAAATGAAAACTTAAGATTCACATACCACAAACATTTTATATTCCTATACCCTTCATCTTTTATCATAGTTTCAATCTGCATACAGAACATTAAGTCCACGTCCCAATCCCAATTCATTTCAGCCACTGTTTCACCGGCATACAACATTACAAACTGATATATCATTGTCCCTTGTGGTGAATTCTAAGTCTGACAGTTTGTTTTTCTGCAGACCTATATACATAAAATATAGTTTAAAAAAATGGTTGCAGACATTATGGGCCACAATAAAATAGACAACAATATACTGGGACCACAATAAACTATTAATAAACTCACAATGACATATCAGAACATTTGGGACCACCATAACACAACATTGCATAAACACATATAACTCATATAACTCATTCACAATGGTTTTCAAACATTGCAGAAACACATACAACTAGTAACATAACATTACAGAAACATATATAACTCACAATAAACACATTCAGAAGACGTGGTATTCAAACATTGAGACATAGCCATTTACCTCAAAATATATGTTGGGCCTGGCATGTTGAATTCAGAATGAGCAATCTGGAATGCACAACAGTGGAAGTAGAAAGCGAAGATGAAATCAAGAATGTTGCCGCAGTTTGAGGCAAAAGACGAAGGCGAAATCCACAAATTTGTGTTTATGTAAATCGGTTTGCAGCAGTAACGTTGGAAGAAGAAGACGAAATTTAGGGTTTGAGGTATTGAAGAGAAATAGAAAACGCATGAAAGCTTGAAGCTTGAACTCTAATCACTTTTACATTCCAGATTATTAAACATGTTATAAATATAAATAAGATAAATGTAAAATATCAAAATGAACTAAAATATTAAAAGGTCACAATTATTGACTTGACATTGACATGTGGGCATATCTCAGTGCCATATTATCAAAAATTGGTCTCAAATTGCGTGGGGGACTAAAATCTTGATAAAACCAAACTTAAGAGACTAAAGACTTAGATTTGAAAATGAAGGAACCAAAACAAAAAATAAATAAATAATAGGAAGACTAAAATTACAATTAAGTTCATCTCGTATTTATCAAGCTTCCTTATGAGATACCTTTAAAAATGTATGTATCAATAGCATTGTTATTATACTGGAATTTTTCCAAGTTTGTGGTTAATTGATACATATAATCAAATAAATGTTTGAGAGAATTTTGTGAGGTGCAGATAAACTTTTCATTTGAAGAAAAATGTAAAGACACTAAAAAATTGTTAAACATTAATAGAAGAAAATAATCTATCACATGAAATATGTAGGCTGATAAATTGTGTTAATTTTGAAGACAAGTCGAACTTATGAAATAAAAATGGAGTTATGATAACTCTTCATAAATGCAATTTTCAAGTCTTTTGGGTCCGTTATTTAACTTATTATTATTTAATTTTAGTTTATATTTATTTTTAATAAATAAATATGGAATTTAATAAGAGATTTATGTTTTTATTATAATGATTATTTAAATATTTCAAGTAGTTTTATTTTGTGTTTGAGTTAAAATAATATTGAATTTTGGAAGAAAAGAAAACTACATGAGACATATAATGTATTAAGGGAAAATAAAGGAACAATAATATTGTAAGAGGGAACTGATTCAAAAATCTTGCTCAAAAATATGATTTTTTTTCAGTAAAACACTTCTGAAATTTTTGTATATCTTAACAAATGTTAGTGTTAAGTCAATTGATTTGTAAAGAATTTAGATGATATTTTTAGATTTTTGAAATATTTATATCATCTGCTGCTCTTTTGATTCCACCATCTCTCATTTTTTGATCCAACTATTGATTGACCTAAAAATTGCATTATTAGACTAAACTCAAAATTCTTAACTTAATAGGCAAAAAAATAATCTTTCACACATCTTACTCTCTGAATGTAAGTCTAATCCTCACAGCCAAACACTAATCATAATAATTGTTTATACTAATTGTAGTAAAAATCATCTTTCACCTCTCACGCTCTAACTTTCTATTACACAAACTAATTCCTCAACTAGGATAGCAATCAAACCCGCTCCCGCCCCAAAATCAATAGAAAAAACTCTACTTGATTGAATACGGATGTAGAAAAAACTCAAATTGTTAATTACATAATGCAATTTACTTTAATTTCCTTATTTTACATTTATTAATTATATTTTTAATTAAATTATTAATATTCTTAATATAATTAAAATAATCAAATTAACCAAATTAATATTAATTTATTAATTTATTGTACTTAAAAAAAATTAACTTTTTTTGAGATAGGGGCGGATGCACCCGTTCTTCACTAAAGACGGATATGGACGGTAATTACCCCCAAGTTTAATTTGAGGACAAGGGCGGGTGTGTCCTTAACCTCACCCCGTTGCCATCCATGTAAGGCTAGGTTGTGGCAGATAATCCATCAATATGAATGCCCATTTAAATAAATAGCATTAACACGGGGGCAAAAAGCAATCAAGATATCAAAATTAGGAAATATGAAAAGAGAGCATAAGATGACTGTAGAAACAAGCTCAATAATCATAACTCAGATGTCAATACTAAACTCTAGGTTCAAAAACTGGAATTCATCAGACAACAATGCTGAGGATATTCTGTCATGTCCATACAACAAACAATAATAGAAAATAAATTTGAAAAGCAATCATTCATCCTCTTGGCTGCGCAACCTGGCCAGTTTGTTTGTGACAACAACATCCAATTGTGCTGCACGTTCAACAATATCCTTTCTTTTCCTGGTTGACACATTGTGTGCTATTTCAGCACAGTATGTTCTGATGTTTTCAAGCAAGTAAACAAAGTCAGAATGTACTAAAGGGGAATGATAAATTGTTAATCCAAATGCTAACACCCAAAATATACCTGTTATGCATCATGAGGAGTTCTAGATCCTTGACATTGTGGACAACAAACTTCTTGAAACCGTTAGGCAGATAGTGGCGAGTCTTCTTGTCTGAACCATAACCAATGTTTGGCATCAAAGTAACTCCTTTGAACTTTCTCCTAACACGTGAGTCAATACCCTTTGGCCTGCGCCAACTTTCCTGCAAACCAAAGATAAAAATGTTATTACCAAAACAGAAATATGATACACGCCATAACCCTGTGGAAACAATTTGCTTGGAAGATTCAAACAGCATTAAAAACAAAAAAAGAAAGTCATAACTAGTAGATGATTTGTATCGGACAACATAATTTGCAATCCAAAATCCAAGAGAATGGTAAATCCAAAAGAATGGTAAATCCAAAAGAATGGTACACAGACAAATCTATCACTACACGGGTTAAATATAAAGCGTTGTCAAAAAGAAAATGACACAATTGTCATTAAATGTAATAGAATATACAACAGGAATTAGCAAAATAAAGCTTCCACTTATAATTATGATCTAATCTCTAACATGAAGAAGCACAATATATACATGAACATAAAATCTAGAGGTGTCAACTAGGCATGACCACCCAGTTTAGGTCTGCCACACAAAAGCCTGCATAAAAGGAATAGTAGAGGGTGTGGGCCTAAAACCTAGAACAGTCCCACGAAAAAGTGCCGTCCTGCAAAAAAAAAGGTCGGGCGGGCATGCAAGCCTTAAACCCATAAAGGATAAATATTGCAAAAATTCTTGTAAATGTCAATGTCAACAAAAGCTGCAAAAAACGGGATGGGACGGGCATATCGTAGGGTGTGGGCCTAAAACCTAGAACAGTCCCACGAAAAAGTGCGGGCAAAACAGGCATGCCCAACAGGACAAGTCTGTTTTGCCACCTCTAATAAAATCACATTTAAATAACTAAGTTATTAAATTTAAAAAGTTCCAAATAATCACAAGACATAATGTTGGTGGAAATATGAGATAAATGAATATAACAAAATCAGAAGCATTTTTACTTATCCTGAAAGACTTGTGAGCCAAATGAATATAACAAAATCAAAAGCATATTTGCTTATCCTGAAAGACTTATAATGTTCAATCAGAAAGTATTTATAATGAATTCAGGAAACTATTTGAGAAAGCTTAAACATACCTGTGAAGTATCTCCAACTAACTTCCAAATATTCATTTAAATAATTTGATAAAACAAAGACCCGAAACTTGAAAACATATAAAAACCAGTAATTATCATGACATACCTTGACACATATTCTCCTATCACTTTGAGGCCTAATGAACCTCTTCACACGCTTCTTGATAATCTTCTTGGTCAGAAGAGGAACCGCCATCTTGTCTCTACAAAACACACAAACTATTTTCTTAAATTCACAACCAACCTTAAAATTATTTTAAGACTACACATCAAACACTAGAAAACCTTAAAAATTGCTATAAAAAATTACATGAATAATTATGAAATGGAGGGTATTAGAAGAAGAAAAACACGAATTTACAACAAAATAAGGACATCTTCAGAGTTGGATGTTTTAAAATTGAAACATGATGTGGTAAATCTCCCATTATAAAAGACCTAAGGGTATACAACATCAAATTGGATTTAAAAAGTAGATCATTTAACACGTTAAAAAAGAAAAAAACGAAACAGGATTTGAAATTGACACATAGTAATTGGATAAAAGGAACGATACTGAGAAACAACATAAACTATCGATTACAAAATACAACGAAAACGAAGGGAGGAACAAAAAAATCAGCAGAGAGAGAGAGTTAGGAAAGGCGGTACCTTTGAGAAGCTTCACTGTGAGGATTCACACAGCGAGAGATGCATACAAAACCCTAGGTTTTTTTTTAAGTTGGGTTGGATTGGGTTTGATGGCCCAATAACAACGCCTCCTGACATCCACACTCACACCTGACAGCCCACATATTTGCATGACACCTTACATGTTTTCATAAATTTTAAAAATTAAAAAATTTGATACTTTATTAAAATAGTGTGAATTTGTTTTTTAATATAATCATGTTTTTCAACAAAAATACAAAACAAATTAAATTTTTAAAAAATATATCAAAATTGTCACAATTTATCCTTGGGTAGTCACTTCAATTGGTGGCGACTCAGCGACTCAGACTATACTAATTGGACTCGCCAAATGAATTGGCGACAGAGATTATGTGGCTCAAGGAGTCGTCATTCCGTTTGACTACTTGCCCCATTTTTTTTTATTTTTTTAGAGTTTATAAATTTATTTTAATTTTAAATAATAAAAAAATAATTAAATTAAATTTAAATTATTTATATATATATATATATATATATATATATATATATATATATATATATATATATATATATATATATATATATATATATATATATATATATATATATATATATATATATATAAGTTTAATTAAAATATTTATATAAATTGATACATTTTAATTAAAATATTTTGTTATACATTTTATAAATTAATGAGTATAGTTTAATAATATAAATAAATTTAAATTGGTTTAGGTTTAATTAAATTTAAAGTAATAAATATAATTGTAATATAATTTTAAAATATATTTTAAATATATTAGTGATTTAAAATAAAAATTGATTTAAATTAATTTAAATAATAAAAATTGTTTTTAAATTATAAGTATGTTGAAAATTTTAAATTATAAATGAATTTAAATAAAAAATAAAAAATGATTTAAATATAATTTCTAAACACAATAAATATAAATAGGTTTAAATTTTAAAACATAATAAATATTTATAATTAACCATTGAATTTTAAAGTATATAAATTTTGTAAGTGTATTTAAGACATATCATATGGGGCACATACAATTTTATTTTTCTATAAATAGGACTACAAACACATATATGTTTCCACAACAATGTATACCAAAAGACTGAAGTGTTAACAATTTTGAGTGGACTGGAGTCTAGAATGTCTGCATTTCTAAATCAACGTTCTTCGTCGTCGTCATCAGCATCGGAGGAACCCTTTCCAACATTCGATTTAATGAAAAGAAGTGCACTAGTTTTTTTTCCAGCAACAAAGCCTCCGATAAAGGTGCTCTTGTGGAATACACAGACGTTTGAGCATTTGCATAGGGAATTGAATCGCTGGCTAGAAGGAGATATTGCTCCAGGAGACAAGATTAGGAAAATTGAGAGGTTGATCGAGGACGCTAGGAGAAATGGAGTTACTCGTGAATGGAGAAAAGTGGAAAATGATGTTGGTGTCCCTGTGACGATGTTAACACCAAAGAAGATAACGTTGATGGTCGTGATATCGTAGACGCCTTGGTGCATTATTCTGTTTTATGTCTTTATGTTGTTGTTATTTTTCAAATGTTGTTGTGATATTAAGTTATGTTTGTTTAATTTTTGTCGCTTGCTAATTGTAATCGGTCAAGTATTCTTTAAATGGAATGAAATTTGCTATTGATTTAAAGGGACACAGTTGCATATGAAACTATGATTTGCTGCTTGATCCTACGTTAGGACATTTTGTATGATCGTGTCCTGGTTGCCGACATGAACTACATAATCTTACCATCTTGTCTGTGGTATCCATCTTCATTCAAATGCGCGTGTTGCTAGGGCCAATAGTCCTCTTTTACCACCACCTGAAAGCTACATGTGTAGACATTGCATAGACTTATCACTTGGTGCACTACATAAAAAAGGTTGGCTGGGTCATGTCGCGCCTTCGAAAATGTTGCTATAACATGAGAGCAAGGCATACGAAATGCCTGAATCTTCCCACAATCACACCAACTCCTATCCAGTTCAACACGGTAACAACCCATAGGCCTTCCTTCGTTGTGATCAATCGACTCGGCAACACTGAACCAATCTTTATTACGGTCAAAGATTGTGACCAGATGTGTGTTGGCTTTGGCAGATTCGTCTTTCATGAATTTCATTGAAGTATCACTATACAGTTGACCCGATTGTAATACTGAACCCCACTTTGTACGTCTGCTATCAAAGAGTGCGCCTAGTCTAAAATATGTTGCCTTTACCAAGGTAGTAATCGGTAGGTTCCAAATTCCCTTGAAAACATAATTCATTGATTCAACGAGGTTAGTTGTCATGTGGCCCCATCGCACCCCGTTGTCGTATGTCCGTGTCCATTTCTCTTTATCAATGTTATCAATCCATCTTAATGCATCCGCGTTTGTTAGTTTGATCTCGTCACGGTAGTATTTGAATGTGGGTTCTGTTAGTGCATATCCTGCGTTCACAACCTTCTTCTGTAGCGTTTTGTCTTTGATTTCCCGCATGAAAATTTGGGCAATATGTCTTATGCAATAGACGTGGGTCGAGGGAGGATCCTGTCAACCGTTATCAAGGTTGTTGTATGCACTCTTGATTGATGGGTGTCTATTAGAGATCAAACATAAGTTAGGTTGGGGAGACACGTAAAAACTGAGATTTTTTAAGAAAAAACTCCAACCCCCAACAGTCTCCCCTTTAACTATAACGAAGGCTATTGGAAAAATGTTGTTGTTCCCGTCCTATACCACAACCATGAGTAGGGTGCCCTTAAATTTCCCGTATAACCATGTGCCGCCAATTTGAATTATAGGTTTACAATATGCAAACCCTTTGATGCATAATTCAAACGCCTAAAAGAGTGTGTGAAAAATTCCATTTCCACCAACGCAAGTCCTATCTGGTGTACACGCTGGCATTGTCTCCAATATGGCAACAGTCCTTGGAGAGTAGTGTTTAAAAGCCACCAGGAGTTTTGGAAGTTCCTTGTACGACTCCTCCCAATTTCCAAACACCATTTCAACCGCTTTAGTCCTAGCAATCCAGGCTTTTTGGTATGAAGGAGTGTGTAATACCCCAAATTTTACCCTTAGATTAGTCGGTTCATGTCGCATTTCATCACATTTTTGCATTGTATTGTAAACTAACTGCTAACCAGTTTGCTCAGTCTGTTGGTTTTGCAGGAAAAATCACAGTGTGCGCTCTTTAGCTTATGAAGGGCAAAAGGGTTATTAATTTGCAACCCGCTGACAATTTTTGAAGCTTAGTCGTCCTCAGGAATCCCTCGAGCGACCAGGGTTTCCATCTCTGAATCAGGTGACTTATTTGGTGAAGAGCTGAATTTTACGACAATATTGACGCCAGATTTCTTGCGACACGACACATTGTATTCAAGAGCAGAGATTCAATCGTCAGTTGGATTTCATAAATGTTATTTGATTCCTAAACCATATAGAGCTGAATGTGTTAAGATATTAGTGGATTCAGGTGAAATCGATGCGAGAATATCCTTTGAGGAATTTATTTTGACATACACATGTTTTCCTGCTTTCTGTTGGTCAACGGTCAATTTTAAAGGAACGGTGGAATTTCGGTGCGCATTGAATTTATAATGAATATCTGTTGTTTTGACCATGACTTTTAGTTGAGCTGATTCAGGTTACCGGGTTAAAGTAGTCGAGATGCGGTTTGAATTTTCAATACGGAAGACAGTTCATTCTGCCGTTTAACCGGATTTCTCTGCTTATCCGTTCAAGGCCATATTCATCGACGTTATTATCGGACGGATTTAGTCGGGTAAATTGAATCAGTGGAATTTATTTGTATGGAGCTTGATCGAAAAAATTTCATTAAATGGTTTTTAGTTGTTTGAGTTTATCTGGAGAAATTTAGTCAGATATATTTAATTAAATGAATTTATTCGTTTAAGTTTTATCGGATGAGTTAGTAGGAGGTTTTAATTGGAGATCTTAATCGGAGAAATGCGATTGGAGAAATAATTTGAATTTATTCATTTAAATTTTATATTATTACAATATTACGTTTATTACAATATTACAAAAAATTACAAAAAGTGCTAAAAGTCCTAATTTCTCTAAGTTTGTCTCTACGCCCGATTCGTCGAACTTCGACTTTCGACTTTGCCGAACCTGCAAAACAAATCAACAGCAGATAATAGAATTTATTAAAGTTGGGTTTTTTTTGGTTCTGATACCCTCAGTTACCTCATTATCGGGTACGTCGGGAGAGTAACGGAATATTCCGCCACCAGCTTCCGACTTTTATTTTCAGCCTCGGTGCAAGTCCGACAGACATCTATTCTAAGTCATTCCGAGAGAAAGAGAGAGAAAAAGTGATTTTGTTTGGAAAAGTGATTTTTGGAAAAGTGATTCTGAAAAAGTGCTTTTGGAAAAGCACTTATTTCTAAAAATGATTTTTTCGCCAAACAGACCACAAGCAAGTTTCCCAAAAGATTCTGAGCATTCAACTCAAACGCAACTAACATTTCAAAATTTCAGCCACATGAAATTCCAGATCAAATCA